AAAGTGCTAGCAGTATGCAAAGTGCTTAAAGAGTAACTCCTTGTGAACACACTGGGGACACCATGGAGAACACATAAGAGGCAAAAGTAGCAATCCCAAATAATTCCTTTTCTGGCAAAGCAATTACCAAATCAACTCCCTTACAGGATGAGAACAATTGCAATTGGCTGTACATCAGCAGAAACTTACATAAGCCAGTTTGGTTCAGAATGATCTGGTTATCTGTAAAACAGGATTTTTGAGACAAGTCCCCACCAAGATCATTGTGAGCCAAGCTTGCATCTCCATCTAGCTCATGCCTGGCCTTGCACAGTTCTGGCCTATACCTAGTTTCCACAGAACCTGCTCAAAAAGGAGGTGGTATATTCTAAGGATGTTTGGGCTGCAGGCCAGTTCCTCCATCCACAGCAATTAAGACCCAATGGTCCAGGTGAGCCATGGGCCCCTGGAGGGAACAGGAGTGCAGGCAGGCTAGTATAAATACTGCCTAGCTATATCTGACCAAAAATCCATCTTATCCAACAGCAGCCAGCCACATACCACTGAGAAGCTCACAACCTAGGGATGAAAACAAGGGCCTACCCACTATCCCGAGCATCTGGTGCGCAGAGGCAACCTGCCTCCCTGAATGAACTCCACGCAAAGGCTATGAAATATTACAGCTAGAATTGCAACGTTCATGTTGAGTTGCATCCACCATGAATTGTCCTAATCCCTCTTCAAGAAGCCATCTACGTTAGTGCCCGTCAGCAGAACTGCGGGAGCCAATTTAATGAGCTAACAACTCAGTGAGTGAAGAAGTATTCGCTTTCTGAGTCTGCAGCCAATAGGGTGACACCCTCACCAAGCTCCCTCTGTCTACTCCCTGCCTTATGACAATCACAGCCAAGAGGGTTCCAAAAATCATGGTTTGCCCTGGTGGCATTTTTAAAAAGGTGGGGCGTGTTCATGTAACTCACACCAGTGTGAAATCATAACCTTTGGTGTGCTTAATCCAGGGAATGATTTAGGAACCCAAAGGCTGGCAGAGAAAGTTGTACATATTAAAAGTTGTGAATTGCACATTCAGACATAACTCAGGACCCACATAGCTGCAGGACTGCCTTTCCTACCATGTTCCACCATGTGAGCTTCACTGATCTGAGCAAAAGCTTCAGAGAGCACCACCCTGCACGTGTTTACTCCCTGGGATGGCTCCTACCCTACGAGGAGATCAGGAGGGCCCCCACACTTAGCATTTCACAGAATGTGCAAAATGTTCAGGATGACATTTTTATAAGAGTGCTAGAACTGCAATACAGTTCAGGAGGACACTTTTCTAAGAAAGTAGCATTGTGGTCTATTGCAATATTTATCATACACATTATCTTGCTTTTACTGCATTAGCCTCCACCTTTGCAATTACCTTTGTCATTCACTTTCTGCATTATGGTATGTCATACCTTGGAAAGTTTACTGTTCGCACTGTCTTCTGATTCTGTAATTACATTTCTGTTGCACTGTTTATTGGATGTCTTATACTGTCTCACTGAATTGCTTTCTATATTTTGTTCTCTTCCTTGAGTCCCATTAAGAAAGGTGGGCTGTAAACAAAATAAATAAACACAATACTTCCCGGTATATGCCTGATTTTTGGCACTGTTCCCACATCAGCGCCTTCGTCTAAAGGCTGGAATGTGGGACGTGGCCTTCCCTGGTCTCATTTCTGCCTTGAATCAGCCAGACATTGCTACTCAGTCTGTGACCTGCCCCAGCAAGGCCTGAGGAGCTGATAAGAAGAGAAGGCATCCATCTTATAGACTGTGCAGAGGACTGCTAAGCACTGATGGATGAGAGGCGGCACTCATATCCAGGAGTGTGCAGTCATATACGGATGCCTGCAACCCTTCTTGGCTCTTCCCTAATGAAGGTTTTGCTTGCTGCACACTCAGGGAATAAAAACATTCCCAAAGTCGCAGATGGCTGCCTCCAAGCCTTTATTGGCTGACATTTTAAGTTGGCCAAATTGATCCAGCTCCTATTTGCCTATAGGCCAAAACCTAACCTACCTTCTGCTTGTCAGAAAACCTTTCCACTGATATTCATATGTGGAAACTTCCCTCAGTTTTCTCAACCCAACTGAACATTCCTTCCTTATTTCAATGTTAGAGTCTCGGTGAGAACAAAGGACTTTAGATAACATAAATTAAATGTTTTGTTGATTTCTAGAAGTCCCTTCCTTCCAGCACCTTGACAGAGGTGAAAAGCGACCAATGGCCTGTCCCAAAGTAATGACCCAATGGGTGTGTTACTTAAAAATCACCTTCCTCAGCATGCCAACACCTTGACTGCATATTCCTAATTCCATTGGCTATTTGAAAAGTTTAAACTCTCTGGCTCAAGTAGGAGGAAGGGTTGTGAAGAAAAATCTGCATGTCCGCCTCCATTCTTGAACCATGCCTTGAACAAAGGAAGACTGCAAAGCACATCAGCTTTAGAATGCTGCCTGGATTTACCTCTGGCACCCATTAAGATAGGAATGTTTTAGCCCTGACCTGGATAACCCAGGCACGCTCAGTCTTGTCAGATCTCGGAAACTAAGCAGGGCTGACTTGGAAGGGCAACCTCCAAAGAATACCAGGGCCGGGATGCAGAGGCAGGTAGTATCAAAGACACCTCTCTGAAACGTCCTAGCTCCACTAGGGGTCGCCAGAAGTCACGGTGACTTCCAGGCCCGGACGTGCGCACGTGTGCGTGCACACACACACACATCATTTACCAAAAAAAGATAGGAACGTTTGCATCTTTTGCCGATTTTTGTACTATTTGCCATTTTCAGACGTTTTCTATTTTCTACCTTTTTAAAGGTTACATACACTTCTGGTTTCTCTTTCACAATAATTATTTTTCATTCAAGTCTGTGCCTTTAACTATCTATTTAAGTATCTGCTGCTCAGCTGGATCAGGGAGAGAGAGTTTGGGAGTGCAGGAATCTGGGCTGAGAAGCACTCTGCATGTTCTCAGAGGTTGGGCTCTCCATGCTGCCAACAGCTCAAGGGTAGATTTGGCTATTTACTTTATGGGGGGGGAATCATCTCGGGCCATTGCCTTGGAGGGCTGCTTGTCTTGAAGCCCCACCTTGCCCCACTTCACAGCGCAGCTAGTAAGGAGGACCAGGGCAGTGCCCAGCTATGACCTGCTGGCCTGGATATGGTCTGGTCACTGAGGAGGATTACAGTGGTGCCTCCTTTTCCTCTAGGCAACTTTTCTAACCTCCATCAGGTGAAGGGAAGCGCTTTTCCCCCCAGGGCCATTTTAGCCTGCACTAACTCTTAGGTTCCCGCCCCCCCAGCAAGAGTATGATAGCATATGTAAATTAAAGCCATTTAAAAGATGGTAGGGTGGCTCCTACTCCTACCCCTTCCACTCGCCCTGACCAAAGTTTGAAGCCCTACTCCAGCTTAAGGAGCTTTCTTCCAACTTGGAGGAAGGCTCCTTGGAGGATGGTTGAACAAAAACCAAAAATTCCTGCTAAAACGACTTCATATGTTTCTTAATGATATACTTTCCTCCACACCTTTCATTTTGGGACTGTTGAACAACAAGATATAGATCGTTTATTATACAGCTTTTTTTTAAACTAAAAGTCCCCAAGAACTAGCCTGTGTAAGGTCTATGTGGCCTATTTAAAATTACGAAAATCCAAGTAACACAGGCAAACTTCTTTATCGTGGCAAAATTTATCCCAGGTCAGAGACTACTTCATCAAATGCATGGAATGGCTACCACCAAAGTAGGTGGGTACTGATACCCTGAATAGATACTCCCCTATGCAGTTAGGTCACGACTTCCACTTACCTCACCCTTCCTCCCTGGTACTCAGGGTGGTGTTCACAGTTTCCCCCCCTCCCCAATTTTATCTTCACAACTTTCTGAAGTAAACTATTCTGACTGAGAATTATTGGCACAGTGAGCTTCGCTGCTTCATAGAGATCTGAACCTTTCTTGGTCAAAGTCCGTCACTCTAGCCACTATACCAGATTAGGTGTCATGTTCTGGTCCATGAAAGATTCCACCACAATAAAGCTGCTAGCATTTAAGTGTCACGGGGCTCAGAGGCACCTTCCGTGCAACAGATTAAGCATGACTACCCCTCTGGAATCTGTCATTTAAGATACCTGTGGTTTGCATGCAGCGCAGCTTCCCTCTAGGCCATAACATCTCTGATATGCTAATGCCATATGCAAAGGAACATGAACAAAGAACATTTTAAATGAGGCGCTGGGCTGCGCAGACCCTTCCACGGGTATGTGCTTTGCCTGCACCTCGTATAAATAATTGGCCTACATTTGCCTGCTTACCGAGAGCTTTTATGGCTAACGAGCACAGACAAGTTCTTTGCAACACGCATTCTGCCCAGCAGTTAAATAATTTCAAAATGATGATGGTGCAGATGATCCTCTGGGAGCTCCTCTTGTGCAAGCCCCATTGATGTCCCAGACAGTAATCAAAGGCGGCAGCAGAGAGCGGCCAGGAACAACTCTCCTCAAATGGATTCAGAAGACCCCCTTTAGGGCCTGGGGCTCCCGCGGTCTAAGAAGCTTCCATCTGTGCTGGTTCCTGCAGCTCGCAGAGAACCAGCATCAGCCTCTGCCATGTGTACAGCTGGTTCCTTGTTTTGCCTCACTGAACAAGCCATTGCCTTTTCCTGGGAAATACCCTGTGCTATGGTCTCAAGCAGAGGCTGCAGGATGAACATTGTGTGGACACTACACAGACGTGATGGAGCCAGGTAGCACTAAAAACCATTTGCGTGAGCTGCTCCCTCACCTGTAAGGATACAGCACATCATTTAAGAGAAGGAATGTCAGGGCTTCCTTCATGCTTCCCAAAGGCCACTTCAAGGACTCAGTTAAACGGGAGGGGCTGTCCCTTTCTAGAGCTGGGATCTTGCATCCCCTTTAAAACGGAGAAGTTAAACGTTCGGGTGTGCCCAGAGAGGGGCCAGTCTCATTGCTTACCACATTTCCAGCTTCAGCAGCCAACCTGGCAGCATACCGGGCGATTAGCCTGTGCTCCTCATCCAGTCTGCTGGGGCTATCGAGGACGCTGCCAAGGGAAAGAAAGCCAACATGTGCCAATCACTACTCGTAGATCCAACAGAGGGCAGCCCACGGCTGTATAAACATTGTGCAGAATTGGAGCCATGTGACACGGAGAAAATGTCACCAGGCCTCCTTAAGACCCTCCCTCCCACACCAGCCTCAGTTCCACATCTGTTGGTGGTGAGTGGCTTGTAAGAGCAAGAGAACTGTATGGTTGATTTAAGGGCAACTTAATGGATGAAGTAGTAGTGGGTGGTGTGTCCCAAAAGGCCTTAGCCAGAGCAAACCGGGCTCTTATGTTTGGGAAAAAATACAAACCCCACCTAAGTAGGGTGGAAGTGCATCAACCAGAAGAACTGCACAGCTCTCCTGCACAGCTCTCCGCTCTCTCACACACACGAGCCCAGATCCAAGGCATTCCACTAGTCTGGTGGAAGGCTGCAAAAATTTAATGAACGTATACTTGGCATCAACTTAAGAAAACTGCTTTAAACCTGATACCCTTGAGTTAAAATTTAAGGATTTCAAGCTCCAGTGGCTAAATGGTAAGAGGAATTAAGCAAAATTAGTCATTGTTTCAAATATAGCAATCTGATGAGAGCTCAGGCTGGGGCCTGAATGGGCTCCATTGTCATGAAACGGGCAGCTGGGAGCGGGGCCAGAGCACCCAGTAAGGGCAGTGACATGCCAGCCAGAGCTGCTTACAACTTGGGAGAATTCATTGGGTGGGCCCCCCCCCCCCCAAGGCTTCTATTTAAAGTGAGAGGCAGACAAGTGACCCACTGGGCTGAACGCAAACCCAGCAGAAGACAAGTCTTGGAGCCTGGTCCCAATCAGAAGTCAGGGAGACAGCGGGCAGCTGCAGCCCCCACCCACATGCTTCAGGCAAGAACACGCTCCAACTGTTCTGGAGACGTTCACCGATATTTAGGGCTGTTCCATTAACTCATGTTTTTCTTTCAAGAAAGCTGCTAAGAGCCTAGACAAGAGAGAGAGAGGGATACAAAATCTACTGAAGAAATGAGAACTAAAAGCTCTGTTTCTGCAGACTGGAGCCTCCTGTGCCCTGAAGAAAGGGACTGGACCACTGTGGCTCTTGAACTGGGCGGTCTCCCAATGTGCCACTGGACCATCCATCCAGCTGCAGTTTAAGAACAGTTCAAACAGGAGTTCTGAAACACAGGAGGACAGAACAGCCTTGCTGCAGTCAAAACCACAGAAGTCATTAGCCCAGTTTTCTGTTCTAAGTGACAGACAATGGCACCCCACCAAGGCAGCTTCTCTTCCCCTCCTTCCCAGATTGAAGCGATTGTGAAGATGAATGAAATGGATGCCTACAGTCACTGTCAGAGAAAACTCATTGTCTGGAAGAGGGAAAAGGAAATGGGAAGAATCTGTACTTGTCAGGTCTCATGCCAAGGAATGCCTGCTGGAATACAGATGCTGTGCTAAGGAGGGCCCATTCATACCATTCGGGGACACTTGAAAGCATTTTGGTGCTTGCCCAAAATCCCTACTAAATAGCTTCCAAAGTTTTTTTTTTGGGGGGGAGAGACAATGATTTTTAAGTTAACCCTCTCTGGGCTGGATGCTCAAAACCAAAATCCCAGACAAAACCCAACAGGTTTATCCTCAGAAACTTTGGAATACACTTCTCCTCTTCGTGAAGATAAGTAGGTAAATAAATCCAAACACACAACTTTAGGATCATGAGGCAAGCCAGGTCTGGTGGCTCTCAGAATTTTGGGCCCTTTCATCCACGGGAAGAGAGTGTTCCACCCCACCCAGCCACTCTCCTAACACTAACCGTGTACCACCGCTCTGTAGCCGGCTCACATAGGCTGCTATCAGGGCGTGCTCGTCACTGAGCCGACCGGGGAGGGCCAAGCTGCACTGCGACCTAGTGAGATGACGAAAGCAAAAAGGAAACAAACACAACAGAAATAAAAATGAGGGAATGGGACACACGACCTAGTGGGCGGAAATGCACATGTAAAATAACTGTGATAATAATTAAAATAAGTAAACGAACGTAAACATTACAAAAAATTGAAGGAAAACTTCAGTCTGCTGGAACATCATGTAGGAATCTGCCTACTGTGTCCAAGGGGTAAACAAGGTCTTGGAGAAACAGCTGGCCCTCCTGCCGACCCCCCACCCCCGCACACACCAGTGCTCTACCAGTCACCTCCAGCTGGCTAACAGCAGCATCACTTTCCATCATAAGGCTCTTGTATGTGGAAGAGAAGGCTGATCAACCTGTCAAGCAATCTCAGTCAATGCCCTCCACATCATACAAGCTGCCAGTCCTAATAAGAACGCTTGTGCAGTTCCCCCTTTATTCAACTGTTGCCACAACTGGATGAAAACAATGACAACACCATGCGGATGAAAAACATCAGTCAGGGTCTTGTGCAAGTATGAGACACTTACAAAATGGTGGCCGTGATTGGCTAGAGTCCATATTAAGTGCTTTCACCGGAGGCTTTCGAGGGCAACATTTCATGCATCTGGCAAATAGATCTGGCTGGGAAAAAGTTGCTGCTACAATACATCGCTGGACTTTGAAGTACCACGGGATCCTTTATTGGTTATCAGGTTAATATCCCATTCATTCTCTAAGTAGCCCAATCCAACTTCTAGATGCATTTCCCCAGCACCAAAATTTCATCTCCACAGCAACAGAGAGCAGGATACAGCTCTCCCTACTCATTGTCCAGTAATCTATCCTTTGTGATACAGGTGAGCACTATGACATCCACTGATATTCTTCCTGGTGCCTACTTCCTTTTTCCACAAAGCACTTATTCTCCACAGCAAAGAGCCAGTTCTGCAGCAGAAGATGCTATGAACATTGTAAAGCAGTTTAAAAAAACAAACAAAACGAAAACCTGGATTGCTTATTAGATGTATTCTGCAGTTCAGATTTCATCATTCTCTAATTCTGCAGTCCAGTTTTATTGCACTGCTGGTTGAATGTATCACACTGACTTTTGTTTTTGCGTTATTTGCTAAATGCTGTAATCTACCTTGATTCTCAGTGAGAAAAGATGGACTATAAATGAAGTAAGTAGAATAAAATCCAAAAATTAACTCCCAAAGGCAAGCATCTGCTCATGGTGGTATGTAGAGAGGGAGGAGAACTCAGACTTGCCTGTATCTCATTTCTCCCATCAGCCACTGGCCTCAAACCCCCCCCCCTCCATCCTTCCTTCCCCTACCAAGTTTGGGACAGCTGCTAGGATGTCTGACAAAGTCAAGCATGCTTGGAGCACATTGGTCTATCTCATTCACACTCACTTACATCCAAAACATGGTCCTCTTACAGAAATCAACATGTTATCTGGACACTGAGTGTTTTAAGAACACTGCTACTGGGAGCTGGGTATGGATAGAGGCATGCAGGAGATGCCTCAAGGTGAAAGAAAAGTTCTCTAATTTCACACACATTGGATAATGCACTTTCAGTGCACTTCAGCAACTGTTTGCAAGTAGATTTTCCTGTTCTGCACAGGAAAATCCAGCTGCAAAGGTTTGCTCAAGCACATTGAAAGTGCATTATCCAACGCATGCCAAATTAGCCAATATTAACACAGGAAGCAGGGAAGGAAATTGCTATGTGGAAGGCAGTCTGAGTGATCAGAAGAAGATTGTCAGATCTGACAGTGGGCTCAAGGGCAGAAACTGTCTCACACATCAGCAGAGACCACTTGGAAATACTTGCCTAAAAATAACATAATTTTAACAGATAATAACATCCTCCTCAGCATTCCAAAACCCTTGACATGCATTACCTTGTCATAATCCCTACAACCACCCTGTAAAGTAGAGAAGTATTACTAGCCCCATAAGGCAGATGGAGGAGCGTGAGAAAGCAGCTTAACTCATGGGCTTGAAGGACAGGTGACATTCAAACCGAGGGCCTCCTATTTCATAATTTGACTACTGTACTTTGACAGCTTTCAAATTGAGAAAGAAATCGACAAGAAACCGTTCTACACCGCCACCTCCCCCAAAGAGGCAGAAATACAACCCCCTTTCTCATTTTATTTCCGTGTGTTGTGAGCATGGCCAAGGCTGCAGAGGGGAGAGGGGCTGAACGGAAGTCGACAGCCGAGGGGGGTGAAGGATTTGCAAAGATGGAGGGAATGGGCTTGTTCTGAATTGCAGACCAGCCACTACAAGAAATTAATTGTCATGGCTGCAGGCTCACGCTCAGGCTGCTTCAGCTGCGCTGACTTCATATTCTTTCTATTTTACACGCAAACACCTGTGCAGATTTAAAGGCATATCCCTAGGAATGCACACCCCAAAGCTAGGAGAAGCACAACTGAGGAATTTCTGCCTTCATCCCTGGCCGCCATGGAAAATGGTGAGAGGCGCTGAAGCCGTTCATTGATTGGGTTCCACATTTCAAGTTCAGCAGCAATTCATTCAGTCTCCAAAAAGAAGCTTAAGGAGGGTTATGCTGATACTTTGGGATCTATTTCAAAGGACATCAGAAAGAAGAGGAAGGGAAAACTCATTTCATCCTCTGCACTGAGACGTACATAAACAGCAGCTGGCGGGGGTAGGCATGGTAAGGATGGGAGGTCAGTTTTAGCTTAACTGTTAAAAGCAAAAATATTCAGACTCCATTAGACATTGCCCAAGGAAATTTGTAAAATGCCCAGTCTCACCTTGAAAAACTCTAATCAAGGACATCATCTACTGTGGCTGCTTTATTTATGTGTTAAAATACTTTTATCCTGCTTTCCAGCATAAAGTACTCACAAAGTAGCTTACAATAAAGAATGAAAGTCCAGGTACAAGACATGCATTTAAAATCAAAACACATTGCAAAATGCCATCAATAGACTGAATCTGGGAGGCAAGGACGTTCAGAGAGGTAGCTTGTTGCCTGCCTCTGCATAACGGCCCTGGTATTTCTTGGAGGTCTCCCATCCAAGTACTTGCTAGGGTCAGCCCTGCTTAGCTTCTGAGATCTGACGAGATCAGGCTTGCCTGGGTTATCCAGGTCAAGGCAAGGTGAGAAGATTAGGGGGAAACGACCATTGGTTACTCACTGTGAAGGGTCCTTCTCCTCTGAGGCTTGGAGGACATCTTGTGGTCATTCCCATCCATCACTTAGGGAGGCAGGACTAATTTCAATTACTTCCTGTTTCCTGTAGTGGGAGTCACCCTAGGCTCAGTTCTGGTGCTCCAAAAACAATACACTAACTTAACCACTGTAAAAAAGAGAACTTGAACATCAACAACAAGAGTATAGCCAAAATCACAAACATTGGAATAGGAAGAAAAAGGTGAGTCCCCTCTCTCACGTAATATTATTATTATTTTTAAATAGAGTGTGAAATAACAGCATAGTAGATAGAGGAAATGACGACCCGGGAGGGCCAAGATGTCCTCCAAGCCTCAGAGGAGAAGGACCCTTCACGGTGAGTAACCAATGGTCGTTCTTCCTCTGAGGTGGAGGACATCTTGTGGGACCTCCCAGAGCAGTGTCCCTAATTTTGGGGAGGGTGGTCGTCATCAAGAGTTAGAACAGACTGCAGCACTCTCCATCCGAATGTTGCATCAGCAGAGTCATACATATCTTGTAATGCCTGATGAATGTGGATAACGAAGACCACGTAGCAGCCCTGCAGAGCAGGACCTCATAGTGTTGCTTATGGTAGACATCTTTCTCCCTGTGTGAATAGGAGAAATGTTAACAAACATAACTTCTGTCCGTCTGAAAGAGGCCATTCTGAGAATATAGCATTTGAGCGCTCTCCTCACATCCAGTGTATGCCAAACTTTTCCCTCCAGATCGGTTGAATTTGGAGAAAATTATGGCAAACAAATCTCTTGTGATCTGTGAAACTTAGTATTGACCTTAGGGCAAAAAGGTGGAATCTGTTCTCAGAACTACCTTGTCTTTGTGAAAAACACAGCTCCAATTGAATTGACAGAGTGCCTAGTTCCAAAATCCTCCTGGCTGAAGTAATGGCCAGCAGGAACAAAGTTTTCATCCTCGGGAATTTGAGCAGAATGGCTACATCAGCTCAAAGGGTTCCTTCGTAAGAGCTGTGAGAACAGTATTAAGCTTCCAAGTTGGAAACCTATGTCTCTGTGGAGAATCCTTGAACGATGCCCCTCTGAGGAAACAGCGAATGTGAGAGTGCTGAGGGATGTTGAGACAATTGTACTGGGGCAGGACCAAAGCCAGGGCCACCATCTGTTTCTTGAGGGTCACTGCCCTGAGACCACTAACCAGACCGTCCTTGTAGGAACTCCAGCAGTGATCTAATTTCCGGATGAATGGGTCAGCCTTCTTCCGCTGAGACCATCAGACAAAGGCCTTTCAAGTAGTATTGTAGATCCTTGAGGTAGACGGCCTTCTAGAGGACACAATCATATTGATGACTGGCTCTTTGTAGCCTAGTTTTGATAGCTTGTCCCTTTCAGTCTCCATGCAGGTAAGCAGAACCACCCTGGCCTGGGATGCCAAACTGAACCGTGAAGCAGTATGTCATCTGAGACAGGAATGGCTAGAGGAGGAGTCACCACCATCTCCTGTAGCGACGTGAACCAAGGATGACGATGCCAGTATGGTGCCACCACTACGATCTCTGCCCTTAGAACTCGTATCCTTCGGAGAAGCTTGGGAAGTACAGGAAGAGGAGGAAACGTATAGAGGAGCCCCTCGGGCCAAGGGAACAGAAGGGCATCCGTGGCCTCCGCCTGGGGATGAAAATATCTGATGTAATATCCATCCAGTGGGTTGTTGAGCGGAGAGGCAAATAGGTCTACTGTGGAGTTCCCAGTGTCACTGCTCTGAGCCGGAAAAAACAAACTCTCTTGTGTAGGAACCATTCACCCTCCTGAACTGTCTGGCTGTTCAGCCAATCTGCTTGG